ACACACACACACGCACACACACACACACACACACACGCACACACGCACACACACACACACACACACACACCGGGGTCGTCGCAATATACGTTTTTGCATTTGCATATTATGCAAAAACGCATAATTAAAACGGGAGGGTCGCACATGATATGGGCGCATACTCACAAAGTTTCAGCCCTCTAACTTTTCTGGCTCTCGAGTTGAAAGTGGGGAACATCCTCGAAAGATTTCAGAGTTCTAGCTTCTCAGGTTCGCGAGTTATGAACTCACCCGAAAAAATTCACCGCCCCATTTCGCGAGTACCACGCTTACCAGGGAGGCGGTTTTCCGTGCACCAGCGTCCACTAGAACGGGAAGTATCCTCCAAAGATTTCAGCGTTCTAGCTCCTGTGCGAACACACAGACACACACACACACAGACAGGCTCTTCCCAGTATATGTTTTTGCAATTTGCATCTATGCAAAAACGCACAAAAAGAATGAGATCAGTGAGCTAGAACACAGCATTGTAACGTCCGTCGTTTCACTGCCCTCTTGCTTTTCTCTACTTTCTAACTTTGATCCATTTCAAAAAAAGTAGCAGTTTTTAGTAAAAATAAGAAAAAGCACCTTTCAAATCCATGAAAAAACTCCTTTTAGACTCCAGTGCAAGCGCGGAAAACTGCGGAAAGTGGCTCAAACATTATTAGGATTGAAAAAAAGATTCAGAAAATTCATAGTTTTAAAGATACAGATGGAAAGGACAAGGAAGCATTTTAGATAGAATGAGGATTAACACCAGAGAAGAGCACTGAAAAATATCGTAGATGCAACTCACTGGAAACCGATGCTTCTAGTGTACCTGTAATTCCTGTAATTACGGCACTCAATCTGCTCATTTTTTTTTTTTAATTACGGCACTCAATCTGCGTTAATTTTAATTTCGATTTTCGACTTGATCACCGAATTTAGCTGTCAAGCCTGAATGCTAATTACTCTACTTTAATTACTTTGATAAACTGCAGTTCACAGCGTAGTTTCCCGATTATAGCAATTGTTTCAATTACTTTTATCAATGGTGGCCCACCTGGCAGCGATCCGGGTGACCATTTACTAGCTTGGAAGCATTATCAACTTAGTGCGTCTTCCGACGGAAACAGCTTGGCAAGGCTTTAGCCGCTTCAAGAAGCCACTAGCACTGGGCATCAACGTCTATTTCTTTTTATACATGGACAGTACAGAGGGTGAAAGAAAAAGACCGGTACAGTTATTTCCAGGGCAAGTACACATGTCAGCATTCTTAACAGCAAGCGCTGGGTGAACAAAATTGCGCAGTAACGCATACTCACTGCAGCTGTTTGTGCACCGACCTTTATTATTAAATTATAATTTATTTT